TGATATATATTTTTTAACATATATTCACTTATACAAATCACATTGCATGTAGTTACAAGATGAGCATTTTTCAGTTCGCAAGTCAGCATGAGTAAAAATCAAGAAAGTCATATTACAGCTACGATAACATCACGGAGGGAAAGAGAGGTGAGTGCGTGCTTCACCGACGGCAGCCAGGAACCGAGTAACCAGTTCGAATTTTCCTCCAGAGAGGAAGAGGGAGAAAGCTGGTAGCGCCCTCTCACGGGGCAGCGGACAAATAATAATAATAAAGAGTTCTCCACAAGTCTTATTAAAACATCTGCACACACACACACACACCCCAAAAAAGTCTACTAAATATTTTCTTGATATTCTTGAGGCTTTCTGTAAATATATCAATGGCTTCCCGTGCTTTTTTATCTGTGTACAGTCAAAAGTCGTTAATCCGGACTCGTCGGGACTTCGGTGATTCCGGATTATCGATTTTTCCGGATTATAGATCATCAGTTTAAATCGTGTAAGATGGCATGCAGAAATTCTGAAATTAAAAATAGGAAACCGTAATTTATGAAATAAAGAACAATTATGATCTAAAGGGTATCAAAATTTACAAAAAAAAAAAGCTTAATATTTATTTGTTTACTTTATCAAACATTTCTTTCAATGTAAGTTGTTTCGTTTTATGTGATAATACTTTCTCTTTAATTCTATAAACAGACATAATTTTTTGTCCACTTACAAAGTTCCGCTGTTCAAGTCCCGTTAATTGCTGTGCCGAGAGTACCGACTAACTTGTCAATCGAAATTTTTTCGTTTTCACTAACCTCTCTATCACATTCTTCATGTCTTTATCCATTTTTTGCAGCAATTCCACTTTTTGTTTGATGGACATCGAAACATACTTTCATTTTGTACGATCCTTTGGGAGCTCCAGAATCAAAAATTCTATTTGACATAATCGAAAGTTCAAGTTTACTTTTTTAGTATTGCTCTTACAGTCTGCAAAAAATAATAAGCTGGATCCAATTCGAAAATTAAGGAACAACGCAATCATCAACATTAACTGAAATAGATAATTAGATAATTTTAGCTTACACCATCCGTTATACATAAAACGCGCATGTGAAAACGTTTTCTGCGCTTGCGCACGAGCAAATGCGCAGTCGTAAGAGGTCTTATGCGCACGCGTAAACGCCTATGCGCATGTGTCAACGTGGAGCATGCGCAGAAAGTTTTTAGCTTTGAGGTCAGGATTATAGATCATTCCGAATTATGGGTGTCCGAATTAACGACTTTTGACTGTATTTATTTGCTTTGTACAATAATGGCTTACCACTGTTTTATGAATGGCTTGTCTAATTCCTTATACCTAGAAGTATCGTATTTTTTTTTTTCATTAATATTTATGCAGTATAAAATAGTAAGATAGAGTACTTCTCTTGAGTTAATTATATTATTCTGTGTTAAAAGGTTACAGTTCTTACTGGCAAAAGGTGAAAATAAAAAAAACTTAAAATTACTTTCAACGTATATTCATCCTTGTATCTGAATAAGTTTATTTAGTTAATCTTCAAGAGACTTAGTTAACGTATCTTAGGGTTCTGTTATTATAACATGACACAATTTAAATTTATGTAATCATCCAAGGAAGAAAAAAAAACTACAACGATTCTCTTAATTCAGTTACAGTGCTGTTTCTTTTGCTTTTTCATTAATATAACTCAGTCCACTGGAATATTTATATATGGGCATTGTGTGAAAATTTCAGAAGAATATGTTCTAATTGTTGGAGCATTGCCTTCCTTAAAGAGGATTTACTTTATGGTGCTTCTTTTTCTTCTATTTTTCTTCAGTGCTTGCATATTTTTCCATTCATTATTTTCCACAAACAAAACCTGCCACCAGGCAGAGTGATTTAACACTAGTAATAGATAAGCATGTTGTCATAACACATTCATAAGATCCTCACTTTTGTTTTACAGTCAAGAGTCGTTAATTCGGACACCCATAATTGAATGATCTATAATCCGGACCTCAAAACTAAAAACTTTCTGCGCATGCGCCGCGTTGACACATGCGCATAGGCGTTTACGCGTGCGCGTAAGACCTTTTACGACTGCGCATATGAGTGTGCGCAAGTGCAGAATACGTTTTCGCGTGCGCGTTTTATGTATAATGGACGTATAAGCTAAATTATCTAATTATCTATTTCAGTTAATGTTGATGATTGCGTTGGTTCCTTAATTTTCGAATTGGATCCGGCTTATTATTTTTTGCAGACTGTAAGAGCAATTTTATAAAAGTAAGCTTAAACTTTCGATTATATCAAATAGAATTTCCGATATATATTTGTTAATATGTAAAGGATCTAAAGCGAAAGTATGTTTTGAAATCCGAAATCTGTTTATCAATTTCACGCTGCTCGGCGGGCGCGTAATGAATTGGAAGTTGATCTGTCAACACTATCCTTATCTTCAGCGCAGATGTTTTTATTTTATTTGGCTTATAATTCCTTACCAAATGTAGTATTTCATCTCGATATGCTCCGTCTTTGATATGATTTAAAACAAGTTCCTCATCATTATAATTCGCTTTCGATAGCGAAGAAAGTGACAGAGGTTATTGAAAACGAAAAAAATTCGATTGACAAATTAATCGGTGTTCTAGACACAGCAATTATAGGACTTGAACAGCGGAACTTTGTAACTGAACAAGAAATTATGTCTGTTTAATAGAATTAAAGAGAAAGTATTATCACATGAAACGAAGCAAAACTTAAACAACTTACATTGAAAGAAATGTTTAATAAAGTAAACAAATAAATATTAAGATTTTTCTTTTTGCAAATTTTGATACCCTTTAGATCATAATTGTTCTTTATTTCATAAATTACGGTTTCATATTTTTAATTTTAGAATTTCTGCATGCCATCTTAGAGATTTAAACTGATGATCTATAATCCGGAAAAATCGATAATCCGGAATCGCCGAAGTCTCGACGAGTCCGGATTAACGACTTTTGACTGTATATAACTTTGATTAATTTGTAATAAGCCAGTTTAGATTTTGAAAATAGAGATATGAGTTAATGGTTGTTTCTGCATTTTTCCTTTGCATAATGAGAAAATGATTAAAATCTGGCAATCTACATGCTTACAGTAATTTTAAAAATTTGAGATTCTGGCTTAAAAAAAAGTACATACTAAAAACTGAATACAATGTACATACTAAAAGTGAATACAATGTAGGGCTTTATTTGAAAGCAGATAAACTATAGTGATGTAGCATGAAAAATTGTGTCCAGAGAACCCCAACGGTTCCAAGAGTTTTATGAGTTACCTCGAGAGTTATATGCTACAGTTGAACTTCTGATCACAGATACCTCACATCACAAGTAAATTATCTGAACGAAAAAGTGCCTTGGATGAAGAAAGGTGTCTCGAATTATGGACATTCAGATTAGTAACACATGATTTCAGAGATGTTTTAAGGTGATTTAAGCTACAGTATTAACACTCGAGGACTTCATTAAATCATTTATATTTTTTCCATTGCTTAGCTATCTTTAACAAACAGTGGTAGTAAGTTTTATAGAGAACCATGAATTCAGCCTGTAGGAAATTATGGCAAAATTGTATTATAGGCAGAGACTTAGAGGACTGTGACACTTAAGTAGTTTTATATTTTCTAGTATCTTGTCATTTTAAGCTTTTGCCTAAAGTTACATTGAAAACTGGAAGGAGTTAGGACCCTAATAGTGAGCTGAAAAGGATGAAATGCAAGAACTTCAGAAGCAGCAACAAAAGCCATTTGTGAAGGCAATGTTTTTAAAGGAAGGCAAAGGTCCAAAGTATGGTCCTAGTTCTTAAATCTGAAAAATTTTTGAAAAAGAGAAGAAATGCAAAGTTTCAAATTAACAATATCATTAGAAAGCTACAGCATATGCATTTTCAATCGCAATGCCAATGTCTTATTTTAAAACATAGACAAGAACTAGTTACATGGGGCAAATTTTTAGTGAAACAAAGACACAATGAGTCTCAAGTAAAGTTGTGTGGCACTAAGAGATAAAGACAAAGAAAGAAGTTGGCTGAGGAAGATATTTACCTTATCCAAAAAGAACTCCTCATCCAAACAATTACATTTGCCTTTTTCATCCTCATCACTTTTGACATAAAAGCCATTCACTCTTCTTCATACAGATACAGTACAAAGTCCGTAATCCGGACTCATCAGGACTTCGGCAATTCCGGATTAGGGTTTTTTCCGGATTATAGATCATTAATTTAAATCTGGTAAGATGGCATGCAGAAATTATACAATTAAAAATATGAAACCGTAATTTTTGAAATAAAGAGCACGATTTATGATTTAAAGGGTATCGAAATGTACCAAAAAAAAAAAAAAAAAAGCTTAATATTTATTTGTTTACTTTAGTAAAAATTTTTTTCAATGTAAGTTGTTTAAGTTGCTTCGTTTTTTGTGTTAATACTTTCTTTTTAATTCTATAACCAGATATAATTTCTTGTTCAGTTACAAAGTTCCACTGTTCAAGTCCTGTAATTGCTGTGTCGAGAATACTGACTAACTTGTCAATCGAAATTTTTCAATAACAGTCTTTGTTACTTTCTTCACTATCGGAAGCGCACATGGGTAAACGCTTTACACGCATGCATAGTGGGCGCTCGCATCAAACGCGTATGTTTGTGGCTTTGAGGTCCGGATTGTAGATCATTCCGGACAATGGACGTCCGTATTACGGACTCTGTACTGTATAGTAAAATTAAATAGTCTCTTTATCTATTTAATCTTGTATTTATCTTTTTTGGTCTTAAATTTGATCAATTTCCTTTGGTTTCTTTGTATAAACTTGTACACAAAGTACTATTGTAATGTTCAATCACTAATTATCTGTGGTTCAAATACAAGTTAAACCATTTTATGTGAATTCCTGTAGAGAAACCTGTGTTAGTTTATGAGCATTTTGGTTGACAAATGGCCTTCAAGAATGAATTAAATTCATTCATTCCATTTCACTCTTTGTTCATAATCTGCACTTGTCGATTTTTGAACTAAATGTCTGTGATCTGTTCTATCAGATTTTCACTGGAATGATTGCCATGTAAACTTGCATGGGCAGTGAGAAAATGAGTAAGTATCTTTTTCTTCTTTCAGAAATTTTTGTTTTTAGAGTTGAACAGCCGAAACTTTATTCCCTTTTGACAATTCAGTTTTGATCAGTTCTGTATTCTTCTCACATGCTTTTAAACTTTCAATTTTATCTTTATATAAGTGTGCTTTATATTTTTCTAGGCATTTCAGCAGCAAGTTTGGTGTAAAGAAAATTGCAAAGGACAAGCAACAGTTAGGTTAGAACATGTTTATGAAATGATACAAGAATACAGTTCTCATTAACAAATTTGTCTGGTTTGTAGAATCTATTATGTTTTCTATATCATCAGGGACCTCACTTCCTATTCAACACATAAATTTTAAACCTTGTACCAGCTTGAGAATATCCTACATCTTCATCCAACCTGTTTGTCTCCAAATGCAAAACCTTGATGTCACCAAAGAAGAAAAAAATTAAAATCCAAAGAAACTATTTGAGCTGGGAAATGAAAGACTCGAATAAATAAGTGGTAAAGTGACGTATAACTGAAATTATGCATAAAGTAAATGAAGTATTTTACTGCTAATGTAAGGAATGAACAGGATAAAGGAGAAATGTTTTTATTTTTTTAACTGTGAGAAATGTATAAACAATAAATTTTTGCCCTCGTTGACAAACAATCCTGACTCTCTACCCACGTTAAATATAAATTTGAGAAATGTATAAACATTGCTTCAGTGTATATGTATTATTGTGAATTTTTTAAATCCAGTTAGTGAATATCTTTTATTTTATTTTTAAGGGTGATTGTAATATACCTTGTGGAAGCAATTCGAATTGTATAGAGTGTAATCTGAGTGCAACTAAAAATCATGAAGAGGAAATGCGACAAGTATTTGAAGCTGTAAGAATTCAGCCATATTTTTGTATTGCATTTGCAACAAGTGGTTACCTCTCTTCATTTGAGAAACTGTTTCCTACCTTTAGATATTCCTCTGAGCCTGCAAAGAAAAAAGCAAGAAATAATTATTATTTAAGAGATTATCTAAGAGCAGGTATAGTTAAATGTGTATATTAAATAAATATTTGAATTAAAGAGCTTATGCATTTTGTGACTTTTTTTGTTTGTTATTTTTTCATCTTGTCAATGATTTGTGCATGTGGCAAGGATGGGCATAAGTCCAAAATAGTTGATATATTTCAGTGCTGCCCTGAGATCTATACTCATGTTAAGTGGATCCACACTGCTCCTATGCAGGATCAGTAAAGTTCATCTGATGTGCAAAAAATAGCGGTCAGTTTCACCTAGTTATCCCCAGGGTTCGTACGGTCTTTAAAAGTCCTTAGATTTTTTGGAATCGATTTTTGGTCCTTTAAAGTCCTTAATTTTGGCCAAACTCAGCAGAAAGCCCTTAACTTTAATCATCTGAAATTTCTGTCTGTTTTTAAGACTGCCATTTTGAGTGTGAATTATCATTTTATAGGAATATTTTTTGGCAATTCACTGACATATATGGTTGAATGGGTTCATAAGTTATAATTTGTTTCTATTTCTAATATAAATGATGGGATACTCGAGTTTCTATGCAAGAAGTGAAACATAAGCATTTTGAAATTCATTTTTTCTAATAAGGAGCTTTTAAACAACTTTTCGCTTTTGGGGATGTGAATTCTTTTATTAAACGTTCTAAACTTAACAATATATCAATATTTTGTTGATTTTAAGATCTATAGAAAATTTTTAATTCTGAGGCATTGCCTCATTTTGGTATGTCCATGCTGCAATCTGTTGTTGTTTAAATACAACATGGCATGCAGGCAACCAAAAACCACACACATTAAAAAAAATCGTGGAATGTCTTGGGTAAATAATTCAAGAGAGAATGTAAGTGTTTACATGAGAAAAGACATCTTAGAAATATTTCATTCTGCCATAAACTCAGAATCAAACTTTCCTTGCACGCTTCCTACAGTAGGTCAAAGATTGATGGATAGGTTATTAATACCATATTATCAGAGCTACATTAACTTTTAAGCAAAATAAACGCATGCTTAGGAATGAAGGAAAAAGGGCACCACGGAAATTTTCCGTTGCCTATTTTATTGTGGGAAAGCAGGAGAGAAGGAATGGAGAAAAAAAGAGGTTTAAATGGGTGAGGAAGCACCAAAATATTTAAATTGAAATAATGCCACTTGCAATCATTCTGTGCAGTAGTAACATAAACCTCACACTGAATTTTTGCTGCATTATAAATTTGAAAAAAATTTCTTTTAAGAACATAAAGCTGTACTTGAAACTAGAGAAATCATAATAATCTTTTTGTACTTTAGTCACAATAAACTTTTGTATAATTAAGCTAGGCTTTAATTTTATTGTAAATAGTGTCATATGTTAATGCAGTGTACATGTTTTTAAATCAGTAAAGGCTACAATATAAACATATGAAATAGAGAGCTTAAATATAAATTTTTAAATGGAATGTGCATATTTATTAAACCATCTGCGTACATGACTGCTGCTTTTATTTAGTCTTCAAATTAATTTTCAGTTGGGACATATTACTTCACCATTTAAATAATTACGATGCCTTATTTTCTTTGATTTAGATACTTTAATCAGTAGACGATGATGAAAGCAAAGAATGAAATAATATAGTTTATAAATGCTGTTAGATGGCATGTCCAAAAAGCTTAACAGCTAAAAGAATTAAAGTTTTTATTTAAAGATTCTGTTAAGTACTTATATGCATATCCTTTGATTTTGTAAAACCTTTGTGTTTTATTTAGTAACACTATTTGCAATTAGAATATTCTTCTATACTAATTTTAAATATTATAGTCCATGAAAATTTTATGAATAACTTATTATATATTTTATTGCTAGTTATAAAATTTTCAAATTCACTCTTGCTTTAAAATAATATATGCTATTATAAAATATTTTTTGATTAACTCATTTTATTCATTCTAGTTAAAGAAAAGGCATTAAAGGAACACTTACCTGACCAATGCCCAGTCAGCATTATAATTTCTCCTGGTATAGTCGGTTGTCGGAAGAATGCTGTACCACTTGAGGTAGAAGAGGGAACAGCCTTGTCTGGCTTATTATTTCCTCAAGTTCCAGGAATGGAAATTCATCATTTTGCTGTTGATGGACGACGTTATAATATAGATAAATTAATGCCTACAGATGCTTCTGTGAAATGCTTATTGGTTTTTTTAACACAAAGAGGAAGTTCAATAGCCGTGAAGTTGGTTCAGAGTTGCCTTGAACGAGAGGATGGGAAAGTAGCTGTTGGTGGCGCTATTGTAGATCGAACTGAATCCCTCACTGGCACTGTCATAGCTTTTTGTGGACCAAGTGTTAAAGCTGCCTCAGTTATATTAACCAAAGAGGATAAAAAAGAACAATTTGAACATAAGTTGAAAAAGTTTCAAGAAACTGATTTGTTAAACAGTGAAAACAAGTGTTTTGCTTTTATGTTTGTCTGTGTTGCACGTGGTTTTCATCTTCATAAAGAGCATAATTTAGAAAGCTCAGTATTTCATAAATTGTATCCAAATGTTCCTCTGATTGGATTGTTTGGAAATGGTGAAATTGGTATAAATTACATTCCATCCATGTGTGAAAATAATTTAGATCAACAGAAGTCGGCACGTTATTTGCATAGTTATTCGACTGTGTTTGTGTTAGTTTCAGTAAAAGTGTAAATTTTTATGTAATTCACCATACATTTTTCGTTTCTATTGTATTACTTTTAAGTATATGTTACTTAAATCAGTGGATTATATCGGTTGTGAAAGAACATTGGCTTGTGATACGTGCAAAGTTATAAAGTGCTTAAAGCATGTAAAAAGGAGAATTTAAATATGTATGATCATATCTGAGATACCTGAAGCATGCAGGTACTAAAAAAACTTTTTTTGTAAATATTTCATAAAGAATATGGTGATTTCGTAAGTGCATATTTTTTAAAAATACTAGTCCTTTTGCCTGTTATCTTGTTTATTACTTTTTAGTATTCTAAGCCTGTTTGTTATTTGTACTTAATGGGGAGGGGGAAGTAATGCTGTTCATAGAATATTCAATAAACTAATAATTATATTGATATTGCTATCTAATTAAAGCATTTCTACAAATTCAGTATATGTGGACTGATTTTCAAGACTGGAGGCACAGGAAAAAAAAATTCCTATGGAGATCTTGTCTGATTACTTTTGCCATAATAGACATTTGAAGCAAATCATGTAAATTATTTTATGATATAGTTTTATTATTTAGTATACTTTTTATATAAAAGTATATTTTACTTTTTTCCATTTTGTTTTCATTTTAGTTTATTATATGTTGTATTCATACATTTCTTATGTGTCCTTTATTATTGCAACCATTGGTTATAGACGTGTATTTACAGATTTTTTTTAAGTTGATGAAAATATTCATGTTTTGCCATTTTTAAATTAAGAAAAGAAAAAAAAAAAAAAAAAAAGCAGTTTTGTAAAAGTTACAAAATGTACCTTTATATATATTTTTTTCTGTTGTATTCATGAAAACTTTATTCGTAGTATAAAATATAGAACACCAAAAGTTGACTCCCATAGAATAAAAATTGACAGAGATATTTAATTTTTATTTTGAGATAATATTCAGAGTCTGTATACAAATATAATTACAAAATATTTGCATTTGTAGATAATTAAAATTAAAATGCAAAGTCTAAAATCCATAATTGTTGGAACTTAGGCAGTTCAATATTCTGGAAATTTCCAGACTTTAGATCATCAATTTAAATCTAGTAAGATTACATGTAGAAATGATAAAATTTAAAATATGAAGGGTTATTTGTGAAATAGTGAAATATATATGATTTTAAAGAAACCAATGTACATATAAATATATATTAAAAAAGAAAAAAGGCTCAATGTTAGCATCTATTATGTTTCATTAAAAGTTTTTTTATGTAAATTCTTTAAGCAATTTCACTTTATTTGTTTATATTATGTCTTTATTGTAATATTTCTTTGCCTGTGTCACCTACACCTGAAGTATTTTAAAAAATACCTGCAGACTTGATCTGTAATTACCCTGAAATGAATCATAGAGCAGATTTCATATAAAAATATATCAAGAATTCTGGATACTCCTACTGCTGGAGAATTTAAAAAAGATACATTTCAAGAAACTGATGTGTGCGCAAAATTTCATCCACTCTTTGTCTGAGAAGTATGAAGTTCCAAGCAAGTGTTCTATCTTCTCAAAATCAAGGGTAGATGTTTTCACCATAGAATAATCACAGTTGACAAAATCCAGTTCTTGCCAATCGCTGTGTTCCACTGCCAAATGTATTTTTCGATTTTTTTTTAACTGCGTTGTCTGTTTATCTGTGGTGGTTTGAGATTGAGTGAATACTTTCTTGAAATAGAGAACAAATGATTTCACTATAGATTCAACACAGGTGACAAAATTCAAAACCTGATATATTGCAAATCTTTTTGCTATGCCATCATAATTCTTTTAGCATCCTTTTTTTTTTTTTTTTTTTACTTCTTCATTCTCTCTTTATCTAGGTTGGTAAGAAATTCTACCAAATTTTATACCCTCTTCAAATCAGGGATCATCTAATTAACACAGCTAACAATTTATAAAATCTGCTGCCATCTTGCCAACTCCTTTGTTACACTGCCAAAATTCTTTTCGTAATATTTTTACTTTATTGTTTTCTATTTATCTTGTATGGTTTGAAATTCTGAGGGATTATTCTACACTCTTCAAATGAGGACAAACATCTTCAATGTAGAATACCAAAAGAGATGAAATTCGAAAACCAATGTCTTGCCAGTTCTGTTGTTGCACCACTAAAAATCATTTGTCAGTTTTCTACTTCGTGATCAGCAGTTGCAAATTCAAAGCCCTCACCAAATTGGGAACAAATATGTTCAACATGAGATTAATGCAAGAGATGTAATTCAAAATTATACTATGTTGCCAACCTTTTTATTGTGCAGCTGGACACCATCCTAGAAGGTTGTGTTTTGCAGGAGCTCTGTATGTGATCACTTGTATCTTTGACTGTGTGTGCAGCATTTGTGCTTGTGTTCTGCATCATGGCTAGTTAACGAGATTCATGAGATTATATTGGATATGATGTGTTTGGCAGTAATCTAGAAATGTGTTTGAGTAATAAGGATGAAATTCCAAGCGATTTAGTAGCAAAAGGTAAACTTGACAAGGAGAACTTTATCAATGCTGATTTCTTAAAGAATTCTTTGGATTATGGTGAAAACTTTCACATCGAATGTGATAGAATACTTAGTGAAAACTTTCACACACAACACAAGTCTACTTGTACAACACAACTATTTCTACTTGTACAACACAAGTAGAAATTTTTATTGTATGGTATTGGAAGCTCTTTGTGTTGCAATTGAAGCAAGAATCAACAATTAGAAAGATGAATGCAAATTATATAGGGGCATAACAGATCTGCTGTTGATGAACTAAATGTTGATAATTCTCATATAAATGGGCTCCAGTATTGACAATCTATTATTTGCTGATATGGTTAAGAATGGCATACACTCATATAAATTGGTTAATCACCCTCTAGATAATCAGATGTTCAAAGTCAGAACTATAAGTTGAAAAACATGGTAATTTCTTCACATAAAATACCTGCCCTCATAAAATTTTTAAAAATTTAAGTAATATAAATAATAGTAAGTTTGAAGTGCTTAAGACTCAAACTGATAATACAGATAATGTTATTAATTGTTGCTTAATAAGTAACTTATAGGTTCAAAAATCTGAGCCGACACTTTTTAAAAAATCAACATTTATTTTTCACGTCCTTTCTTATTCTACGTATTTGTCAAACAGAAAAGAATATGTAGATGTATTGCATCTGCGCACGTGATCCTTGTGACAGACGAATTCATTAGGGTTGCCACAATTCTCCCACCTTTTTGAGTGGATGGCTACACACTCAAGACATAAAACATACACCAATATAAATGAGGGTTATATAACAAAGAAAATTACTTAATACTTAAATTATATTACTTGAAAACAAAATTAATACTGAGGAATAATGCAACAATAATAGCACAACAAAATAAATCATAATAACTCAGACATGAATTACATTATTCGTGATTTTACAACTCTACCACTACTGGTGGTGAAAGGAACATGATCATTTTGAGTATTATCTATTATATTGTCCAGTTCCAATCCTAAACAATCTCTGTATTAATCTCAAGAACTCTAAATTATTACTTTTCACAAGAGTAACTCTTATGTTGCCATCTCGACCAGGGATCACCTGAATAACATGCTAAATTCCAATATGTACAGTTTTTATTTTGATCCTCCTGCAAGACAATTTCTCCTACAGAGGGAGGTTTATTTTTGTAATTTCTGGTAGACTGCTGTCTTAACTGCCCTAGATACTCAGAGCGAAATCTCACTCTTAACAATTCTCTCATTTTGTGGAGATACTTTGCTCTTCTACTCAATTTTTCTTTGTCCACATTGTCAGTGTCAGGTACACCCGACTGCAGAGTTTCATGCAGAAATTTTTCCGAAGTTAAAGGCAAGGGATCTTCAATATCGTCAGACACATATGTAAGTGGTCTTGAGTTGACAATTCTTTCACAACCTGATATATTGCAATAATCGCACAAGACGGAGAATAACTCTTCATAACCAAGAGAAGCAGGACCTAAAATTTTTTTTCAATATTTGTTTTACAATTTGTATTAAACGCTTCCACCATACACTCCACCAAGCGGCGGATGGAGGATTAAATTTCCATTGTATTCTCTTTTCAGCAGCCTTATAGCAGAGGCAGTCCCAGTCAATGGTTTGCAGAATTCTCTCTGCACCCACAAAATTTGTTCCATTATCGGAATATATGGTGGTAGGATGTCCACTACGTGTGATGAAACGCTTTAAAACCTGAAAAAATTATTCAGTTGTTAATGAGGTAACCAGTTCCATATGGATAGCACGATAAATCGCACAGGTGAAGAGCACAATGTATGATTTTCGTCCATCCTTACATCCATACAAGGGTCTTGCAAGATCACATTCTACGATTTCAAAAATGGCTGAATCACGAACCCTATCATTTGGTAAAATGCCTGGGACTGTCTCACCTCTTTTATCCTTAAATCTCTGACATGTTACACATTTTCTTATACAGTTCCTTATAGTTTTACGTGATTTTAAGATCCAGTAGCTTTCTCTTAAATGCGACATCAAAGGAATGTAGTACCTGCATGCAACAAACTCTTTGTGTGCACTTAATATCAATAATTTGACTGCTGGATGTTCAGAAGGTAATATGATGGGAGAACTTAAAGCTGCTAGAGTCGTCACGATAAGCAACATTAGACTTAGCTCTTATTAGACCCTTGACTATCGACAAATGGTCTGATTCGTCTTAGCTTATCATCTGTTTCACCATTAAACGACTCTTTTGTATTAATAACATTAAAGCTATTTCTTCCCTTTCTATTTCAGATACAGTCAAATCCTTAGAATGGTTGTTATTATTATTCTTACGTACATTATTTTAAAACCTGAATATCCATGATAACATTCTTACAATTTTCTTAAATGATGAGAAATACTTATAGTACCATTCAATACAATTATCATTCTTTACCAACGTAACAATAACTGTCTTACACGTATTTCTGAATTAACTAAATCCTCATCTGGTTCATCATTAGATTTAGGCCAATTTGCCTCATCTTCCAGTAACCAATCAGGTCCCTTCCACCATTTTCGTTCTATTAATTAATTGATCTGCATAACAACCTCTAGAAAGTAGGTCAGCAAGATTGAGACTACCAGGCACATGTCGCCATACAGTGGGAGAGGTCGTAGACCTGATTTCCTGTACACGATTAAAAGCGAATGCTCCCCAACGTTGATTTCACCGTATCCAACTTAAAGCCGTCGAGGAGTCAGTCCAACAGTGAATACGAACTTCATGTAGGCCAATATCATTAATAACTGAAGACAATAATCTAGAACCAATATTACAAGCAAGAAGTTCTAATCGACGAATCGTAATAGGTTTAAAGGCGCTACTTGATCTTGCGTGTACCAAACTAACCTTTACCTTTTTGTCACTCTGTACTCTCAGAAAGACGCATGCAGCATACGCACTTTTACTACTGTCACAAAAGAGATGCAGACTCACAGCCTCATTATTAGATTTGAGACTTACCCATCTAGGTATTTGGATACTGAATAGCAAGTACAACTTTTTACGACAAAACCTAAATTTTTTGGTTAATTCATCGGGAAGAACATCGTCCTATTTAAGCCTTAAATTCCAAGTTTCCTGTAAAATTAGTTTTGGAATCAACATTACAGGAGCCGTATGCCCTATAACGTCAAACACCCGATGAGCTACTGCTAAAACTAGTCTTTTAGTAACTAGGGCCATCCAATTTTATATCTTATTTTGCAAGATAAAGCCCAAAACAGACACATCTCCTTCCGTGGAGGAATCTTCCTCTGGCACAACACTTCTTATATTGGATTTCCAGAATCTTAAATTAAAATGACCCGAAGCCATAATTATTTGTGGATTCATTTACAAACTTT